AAACCCTAAAACTCTGCTCCAATCACAAAGTCTGACTGAAGAAATTGACTCCCAGGAGAACGGGTTCTTCCAAAGAAAACGATTTCAACGGTGACAAAAATTATGCATAAGCATACAATGCAGACTTTTAGCAGCGTCACATTCATGTGGCAGCTCCTGAATGGAGACCTTTACGCTCCATTTTAATCTAATCATTTATTTAACTTGTGTTTAATTCTATACCAAACCTCTTAAGCGTCTAGTCTTTAAAACATAAGGCCAAATAAACAGATTTAAAGTGGGTGACAGCAAAAGACATGCTCAGATATCATAATCAATATCTTTATTTACACTAAACAAAAAGCTGTTAATTGATTACTTATTTAATGATTGAAACACTACTCCAATCATAAAGTCTGACTGAAGAAAAAAATTACTCCCAGGAGAACGGGTTCTTCCAAAGAAAACAATTTCAACAGTGACAAAAAGTATGCATGAGCATACAATTAATTCATTCATGTGGCAGCTCCTGAATGCAGACCTTTATAATCCATTATAACTTAATCTTTCATCTACCTTGTAATAAAATCCACATTAAACCTCTTAAGAATCTAATTTTCAAAACATACAGCTAATAAATAAATAGGAAAATAATATTTTCCTGTTCAAAAGCTGGTTAGATTTATGGTCAGATATGTTATTTTACATTTAGACATCAAAAGAAACAGCCCTGTGTGTGTACACCCGGATGATATTGTCTCTTCCAGAAACTATAGACATGAAAAGAAAAATCTATGCAGGACATAATAAACCATTAATTAAACATTCAGTTCATTGCCAAAAGCGACTGGCATTTTTTTTAGTGAATGAAGCATCTCAACAAAGGAAAGGTGTTGACAGGTGTGGTTAGTGTGAATATTACCCTGGCTTATGAAAGACGGTTGGGAAATGACATTTAAAGGTCTCAAACAAGTGAAAGTTGAGATGTGCCACAAAACTTTGCGTGAGGGCACAGAAATCAAGACTCTTGCTGCTTTCATGAGAACTTGTTTTGTT